ATGTCGTTTTATGACACATTAGAGTATTAGGCGCACGAGTACTGCGTCAGCAATCGGTTGGGCCTCGTGAACCAGTAAACGTGCCGGAGGGAGTTGGCAGTTCAATGGCGGACGCAACCTGAGGAGCTTTGGTCGCGAGTGCGCATGCGTTGTGTTGTCGCGTGTAGAGGAGGAAGGCAGGCGGAGATGCTTAGAGACGATCGACGATTTTGTCTCCTCCTTTCGGGTCGTGATGCGAATGCGGCCCGTGACCCACGTGACCCGACCGAGCAGTTTGGAAACGCTCTTAGATCTAGGCACTGTGGTGTTTGCTATAGTCACACCATAGCATCCTCCATACTGACAAAGCCTGGCAGATCGCCACGAGACGCGGCCGCCGAAAGTGAAAAAGGTAGAGCGGCAGACAACGGATGAGAGGAGAGTCATGTAACGGGCGCCCCGCTGCGGCGAGACGCCGAAACACACTTCTCCCGAGCGATGGAATGTCCGCTCGTGCTCCTCGCGTTCCTCGCGCTCTAAATCTGCGCCCGGGCACTCTATGGCTCCGTCGTCGAACTGCCAGGCTTTGTGAGTGTAGAGGAGGCTATGGTCATAGCTAAGGTCACTGGATTGTAGGAGAGTGGCGCCAAGCTCTCTGTAATAGGGTCGCCATTTTGGCTCATGAAATGAACAATTTCTCCTTGACCCCTCCTTCTTGGTGAGCCGATCTAAATTCCCTGGTGACCCGGGTAGCATTTTTAGAGACGTTTCTCGTTTACCGAGATTTTGCTCTCCACATACCAGCGAAACAAGCGTGCATCTGTCGTACCGCCACCAGATGCGGTGTCAGTGCTTGGAGGCATCGAAACATAATTTTCTTCTTTTCCCATAGGAAAGAGGAACGATATCATTGTATGAGATCCGTGGAGATGAGCGTGATTGATAAGTTGATTGCGTACACAGTGGCAAAGAAGTTCATGTTGGCGAGGAAACGCCTTCAGCACGGTGATGCTCCATGGGGGATCTTGGTGAGACTGGTTTAGAACGACTCTCCCGAAGCTTCGAAGATATGAATGGGGCGGAATCGGCGATCGCGAAGGCAACGGGCACCGGTCAGCCAATCACCTTGCGAGGTTTTGGTCGTATGTTCGTATCTGTTTGTGTCCGGCTAGCTGACGGGGAAGGCAATGGCCCTACTTTACCAGGATCCAGGGACTGTAGTCACCACCTCAAGTCCCTCAGTAAAATTCACGCTTACATTAACCGTTGTTGTGGAAACGCGCGGCGCGCCGCAAGTGGATGCTCCGCCGCCATTCGCCCCCAGAGGCCGCACATTTCAGTGCTGCGCCGCCATTCGCTTGCATGGGTAGCTGGAGATACGGGCATCGTGCACTGGCGCATTCGACGTTACTTGCGAGACAAACGGAAACAAATCGAGAAAACATTTGGTGTTCGAATGGCCCAAATGTCTCCCCCAGCAAAGAGCGCGTGGGGTGAATCACGCGGTGCGAACACGCTCGTGATTGGACGAGTCCGGCCACGCGGAACTATTACATCCGAGTATACGCTGGTGCGCGTGCGTTTTCATTTCCACGAAGAGTCGCTCACGCGCGCTCGGAACCGCACAGGCGGTGAGTCAGGATCGGTGTTTGTTCGCCTGCCAATTCGTCAAATCATCATCATAACAAAAAAGAAAAAGTCGGAAGAGTTTTTGAAGTTATTATGCGAAGGCTGTACAAAAACCCTTGTTTCTAACGTCACGCTAATGTGGTGGTGGCGCCACCTAGCAGAGAACGCGGTTCAAGAATTCCGAGGACGAAACAATGCGCGGATTAGGAAGGAGAAGGAAGCAGCGCTTTAGAACCAACTTGGCGGCTTTTGGGGGACCTCAAGCGGGTCACTGCCGCTCAATAGAATCAGCAGCAACCGGGATCTTGCTTCCTTGGTCGAGCGAGTGCTCGCTTGAGCACTTGCTTGCGTGTTTTCATCCAGAAGCTCCTAAACCAACAACTTCCCTAAAAGAAAACAAAAACATTTTGTTTGCGTTTGAAACGTGCATGTTTTGATAAAATTGAACAAATAACTGATATCAAATGCGTGTCCTGTGTCTTAATTCGCCGCATAAAGGGAGACATTGGCGTTGCTGCGTGAGGAACCGATCTTTGTCGAGTTCGAAACACAAAGTGGTCTTCCAGGTTCGTTTGGTCGCTCTTGCGGCATAACGCGCCTTCGCTCCTGCGTCGCTTAGCATTTACATCGGGATTTGAACGCTTCGTGTTGCACGGCGTCCCTGTATGTCGTTGGCAAGAACTACGGCGTGAACTTATAGGTAATCCGTTTTGTGAATGCGTAAACGATTGCTGCGGTTTTGAGTCACCATGCTGTTTATTTTTGTTTGTTTGTTTTCTCCTCGTTTTTGTTTTTGTCATTATTGACGACGGGCGCGATCGAGCGCGTCGCGGTGGTTGACCTTCCATGATTGGCCAAATCCTCACTGTGACGTCTTGAGGGAGACTAATACCCTATTCCCACAGTCAGCATAAAGGTATCAAAAACGTACCTTGAACATAGGTTCCCTTGCAATCGGCGAGTCAGCCTGCGCTCTTGCTCACGAAAATGTGAACGCGCAGGCATGCGCAACCAAAGCACTGCGGAAGCGAGCGAGCTCGTGCCGAAGGCGGAGCTTCTAGTCTCAGCTTTACACTTATGATCGTGTGAACGAAGTATATTTCTGCCCTTCATCTGCGGAACTAACAATAACGTCAGGCTGTCGACTTTGACGGTGCTCTTTTTAAGAACGCAATGACTTCTAGCATGCTTTTCAAACACCGTCAAAACCGTCTTGGTAGCTGGTAGTTGTGTCGGTGACGTCACCGAAATATCTCGTCGCCACTAACGTCACTCCCAGGATCCAGCGCTTTCACGAAACTAAAGGCCCCTACGTACAGTTGCGTTTGAGTGCGTTTGACTGCGTTGCAGCTGCCAGAACCGAAAGCGAGTCACCGACGCATCTGTGCTTCGTGTGAATCGAGGAATCCAATTCAAGGAATCAACTTGGCACGCGTCATAAGAAGCAGGGATGTCCTGGTTTCTCGCAGCTACAATGCAGTCAAACGCTCTCTAACGCAACTGTGCGTATGGGCCTTCAAGCACCTTAACAAAATTTACGCGTCCTACTTTTTTCTTTCTTTTTTTTACAAGTCTTGACAGTTATATTTGTGCGAAGGCTCCAGGCACGTTCCACGAGCGAGTGCTTCGCCGCCACTCGCTTCCAACTTCCAAGGGACTCTCATCTCAGTGCTGCTCCGCCATTTGCTTCCAAGGGTTGCGCGAGGCATACATACACGTCGTAGGGCTTTCTATTAAGCGAAAATATCTTTCTTTATTAATCTTAATTTTTTTTCTCGGTAACTTGCGGTATTTTGCGTGTATATCTCGGCTTGCCGGGTCACCGCACACATAAGGCTCTGCACTGCGGATCGAACTCTCGTAGATTGCCCCAGTTGCAAGAGCCGTGTGGCGAAAAACGTGCCCGCCTTACGAGGTACGGAACAGCCGCGGTCGTTTTCACGCGTGGAGCGCAATGCGCGTCTGTCTCGCCCTTCTCGACGCGAACAATGAGGATTATTTCTCAACATGTATATTGTTCGTTTTCGATCTTTTTCATTCGCGGTGCTGCGCAACGCCCACAATAATTCACAGAAAAAAAAAAAAAAAAAAGCGAAGCAAAGAGCTTTTGACAAGCAGGCACCTTTTACAGCAGGTGCACGCAGTGTTATAAGACTCTCAAAGAAATGGAAAGCGGAACAAAGTTGCGCTTGAAAGAGGTGCGCTTTCAGGCCACGCCGATGAAACGCTAGTACTGAGCCTTAATCCCAAACTAATTGCCTCGTTGGGCAAGCCTGCACCCCCTCGCCTCGTTTCCCGTTTCATCAGCGTAGCGCACATGAAGGCTCCCTACATCAGCCATCTGGGAACAATGGCGTTCTTACCGAGCTCTGATTTCGTCAGTGATTGTTACAGTGTAGCTCGGTGCGGGTTCAACGAATGTCGACTTCACGCTCGTGGGAACAGCGCAGCTCAGGCTCACGAGAGCGGGGTATTCTTTTTTCTTTATTTTTTTTCGCTGGAAGTTAGTCGTTTCCAAGAACTGGAGTTCCTGCTAATAGGAGGCATCCAGGGTCGTTTCGGATAGGAGGTTGCGAGCTTAGGGGGTGGGGCAACTCGCTGTAGTCGTACTAAAGTACTCTTAAAGGCCGACGTACGCTTCGCGCTTTTCAGTTTTTCCCACCTCCTCCTTCACTATATCCTCTCCACGTTTTAGCTTGCCCCAACTTGGCTCCCCTCGCAGCTTAGGGGAGTCGAGCGCTAAGAGGATTATCTTCCCTGCAGAAAACCGAGGTGTCGTTTACAAGCAGCGATAACGTAGGCGCGTGACGAATCACATTTGACCTCATTAGGGAGTTTTCGTAGATCGTTTTCGCCGTCCCGCAACGCCCTCCGCAACCCGCTACGATACCCCGAACTCTACAGTCAAGGCCATTGGCGCGCAGGCGCAGTAGCGGCTTCTCCGTTGCGGAGGGCTTAGCGGAAGGGGAGACGCGGTCTACGAAAACTCCCTAATGATAAGAACACCGGAGAACAATGTATGAGGCAAAAAACGTGACGATGGGAATCCACGTCTTGGGTTACTTTTACTGCCTGTGGCTCTAGCGTTCATTGTGCCATGTACTGGTGCTCTCTTGCTGCTGTTGTGGCCTGGCAATGACTTTCTTACCTCGTCAGGCTATTTTCACAGCAGCAGAGTGCTAGATTGGGCTAGTTGGTTCCGCGAACAACGAGGACCAAGGCGCCTTGTGTGTTCTTACTTCGCCTTGGTCCTTGTTGTTTTTGGCGCTTTTATACTTCTTAAAATTATGCTTTAACCGGTTCTTTTGCCAGGGAGAAACATTGTCTATGTTAGAAATAAACTTTGAACTTGAACTTTCTCTTGACCTCGATTCCTCTTCTCTTTGTCGCAGTAGTCCGAGGGCGTCGGGATGATGGGGCCAACGTCAACGCCAGTACTGCACTGCCCGGAGCAACCGCGGGTCTTCAACGGAGTGTGCTGTTGCTCCTGCTGCTGCCCTGAACGGCGTGCCACCGGAACGCGAGCGGTGTGCCCTGGGGGCGGCATGTGGGCCGCCGAACTGTGCCCGCACAGCGCCGCTGCCGCCGCCGCCGCGGGGCCCAAGGAGAACCAGCAGGCGGTCATCCTGGTCGCCTTTCCCGTCTGCCCGTCCAGAACGGCGCCCTGCTGCTGGAGCCTCAAGTCCTGCTGCCAGCCCCAACAACGATCCTTCGTCCGCCCCATGGACTCTCCGCCGAGGCCGAGGTACCCGCTGCCAGATGACCCTCCGCCCAGCTACGAAGAAGGGTACAACAGTGGTGGCAGGCTCATCAACAACATCCCCACTCACCTGAGCCACGTCGCGGGTCACGTGGACTTGGGCCTTCACGTGACGGGCCATCTAGTTGGCGGCCACACCGGCGGCGGTAGTACAAGCAACGATGCGGACCTCAGTCGTGTCCAAGAGGCCCTACGGACTCTACGGACCAGCGGCTACTATTACGAGGGCCTGTCCTGGCAGGAGGCGGACAGACTGCTGCGGGACAGAGCTGTGGGAACCTTCCTGGTTCGGGACAGTTCGGACAATCGGTTCCTGTTCGCGCTCAGTGTACAGACGGAGCGGGGTCCGACCAGCGCGCGAATCCACTACCGGAAGGGACAGTTCCGCCTGGACTCTGAGGACGCGCTGTCCTCGTGCATGCCGTGGTTCTCGTGTGTGGTACGGCTCGTCGAACACTACGTGCAGCTTAGTCGGTCTGCCAAGGGACAGATGTGCGTGTGGTTGGACGGTCATGGCAGGAGAGACCTGCCCATCATGCTCACCAGGCCGCTGTATAGGGAACTCTTGCCCCTGCAGCATCTGTGTAGACTAGCCCTCAACCGTGCGGCAGCTTCGGCCGGTCCGGCGAATGCCGCTCTAGCGACTATGCCGGCAGCGCTTAGGGACTACGTGAATGACTATCCGCACCTGCACTGACCAAAGACGTGCGTCCTCCAGGACGTGTGACTCGACAGTTCCTAGAGAGACAAAGAACGTATATGCCTCGGGTGCCTTCTGGGACCAAGATGAACGAGTGCCATCTGTGGTACCCGCGAGCAACGCGGCGCTTGCGCCCCTCCGCGTGTATCTGCGAGTGTGTCGCGTGTCGCGAGAGATGGCGCCACTGCGTTGCAGCTTGCGTGGAAGCACAGGTCGGGCCAATCGACGTTCCCCGGTTGTAAGAAGACGAAGAACGTGACGAGCAACAAAAACCTGTCTAGACGTGTTATGTATTATCTATATCACAAATGGGCACCTCTTCTTAAGACGGAGGCTTGCCGTGTACATAGTGTATAATAGCTACGTAATATATGAAAGAATGGAAGTAATTCACCGTCGTCGCAGGAATAAAACCCGACCTTGGTATTTCCTAACTGGTGTATTGCTCTTTCTCATTGTCCCCGGCGCCGACTGCCTATGGTGGCAAAAGCAGCTGGTGGGCATTATGCCCATGACGGCACCTGGTCACTTATGCAATATATGTACACATCAATACTTACTGTATCATGCGCTTTCTTCCCAAATACGATGATGAGCGCATTTACTGACATTTAAGAGCGTACAATGGATGAATTGAGTTTTGATCCAAGCAGGCACTGGATATGTTACTTTGATATTAAAACAATTGATGACGCTACTACTCACCATACTAACTCGATTGCGCGTTAGGAAGCTCATGCTCGTATTATATATTAAGCTAGAGATTAACTAAGCTTACGATATATTTTATCAGACTAACCTCGTGAAGAGAGATAGAAAGGCTATTGTTTGAAAAGCGCTTTCTTTTGAGTCGTTACCACAAAATAAGGGCAGTTCGATTACGCCTCTAATTTCTAAATAGTTCTAGGGGTACTTGTAGGTTTCGAACAGGAACTGTGCAGGATGGAGCAGCAACACACGGATAAAGTCGAAATAAACGGCCAAACTAAGATTGGGCAAAAACTAGATAAGCGAAACTAGCGCGGCAGGTCAATGGCCGGATACGGCACCGCGCGCGCGGCTGCATGGTCCCATGGTTGCCGCCGCGCACGTCGTCTGCTCGGCCGAACTGTAGTTTCGGTTCGAGCGTAACCACGCAACCTACATTCCTGACGGGAGGGTTGTTGTTGCACGCAGCGGGCTGGATGGATTGTTCTTCGGCGAATCGCTTCGCTGGAAAGGGAACACTCAACTAGGTCGGCTCTCCTTTATCGTGAATTACCCGCTCCGACCTATCATCCATTGTTGCCACGGGCGCCATTGTGCGATGCACGGGTGACGCCATATTGAGGGCATGGTTTGAGTCCCCTATTGAAGTGTACCCATCCGCTGAAAGTAGTCCGGTTGCATCGATGGTATTCGAGCTGACGAACCGGTGCAGGTCGATGTAAGCTCTCTAAAAACCGAGAGGAAGTGAATACCCGAATGCATTGTAATTAATAATTTTACAGTCAGTACTACCACGGTCCTTCAATGAGTTATCTACTGTTCTGAAACTTGGGCGATTTTCGCCCTAGTAAAATTTCGTCACCACAGGTGTGGCTGATCTACGCTGCGTCTCAATTATTCGGAAATAATATGTCCCGTAATCGTCTATCTTTTCGACGGGTCCGTGGGACTTCATGAAAGTGCTGACGCATCCATGCGACTTCCTCTGCGGAGGCTTTCTTTGCGGTGTCAGGTTCTCCGATTCATCTGATTGGTCGACTTCTAGCGTCGGCAGCGAGCCTCTGCTACTTCAATTTGTCCCTAACAAAAACTCTCCCATAACCTAAAAAAAAAAACAAAAAAAAAACAGATTAGGTAGGAGTTGTGGTACTACGTTCCATATTATTCTCTCAGCTTTGAGAGGAGTTTGACAAATTAAACTCGAAAAGAACTAATTACGTGCCTTTTAAGTATAATGGATAAGTAGAAATTGCATCGTTATTTAGCGGGAGAATGTTTGACTCGCGTGACTGTTTCGCAGAAAACAAAAGAAAAAAGAAGTCATTCATGGGAAGTTTAGGCCGTTAATGCGGTTTCCCGCTCCACGTTAAAATTTTATTGGTGTCTCCGTTCTAGTCATTTAGTGCATTCTATTCCACGAAACTATTTCCGCATTGATGCAGTCTGTAATATCCACACAGAGTGCATTGACCCTTGCGACCACCTGCTGCATAGGCGACACGTTGCACGACGTTCTGCGCAGCAATCCGCGCATGACGTCCGCTCCAATAAGTGAGTCTCACTTGCTGGGTGCATGTCGGTGATAGCTCCGTTTTCTCCGAAAGTCAACTGACAACAGGAAGCGTAGCAAAAAGAAGCAGTTCGTAGGAACCTTATTTCGATGTCCAGTCATAGGCACGTTACCAGTGTTTTCGTAGTATAGCAGGTTCCTGTTATAGCTATTCCACGAAACTATTTCCGAATTGGCATGTTATCGTTGTATACCTTTATGCAGAGGGCATCGGTAGCCACAACCGCCTGCTGCCAGTGTTGGGAAGTGCGTAAAGTACTACTTCATGTAGGTTTAGAAAACATGTACTTTACTTGAAATACATTCTCTGAGTATGTAAATGTACTTCACTTAAAGGAAAGCTGAAGAGGATATTGAAAAAAAAATATTGATGGTCGAGGCGAATTTATAGAATTGTATACAAACCACAGGGGTGATTATTTATGAATGCGTTAGCATTTGTCGTTGCACAACGCCACATATAGCGGGGAACCAGAATAGGACCATAGGTCGTGACGTCAATGTTTCCAGTATATTTAGTGGGAAAACTCCCCGCTAAATTTAGCGTCGTCCTCTAGGATGACGCTAAATCCTTGCTGTCCTCGAGATCACCCTAGAAGTCTTCCTTGGAGTAGTCCTAGACGTGGTTCTTAACGTCGTCTTATACGCCGTCAGACGACATTTTGAATTACCTCTAAACGACCTTTAGGGCGACCTCAAGAAAGACCTAAAGGACGAGATCCTAGAGGACAGCGTCTAGGACAACCTCTAGGACTACCTGTAGGGTGATCTCAGGGACGACGTCTAGCACGACCTTTAAAACAACCCCTAGGACGACGTTGAGGACAACGTCAGGGTCGTCAGTTCCTTCGAAGGGGGTGCGGTTGCGGAGTGCGTATACTGCCACTCCGCATGCGCGCGGCGGATTGGGCCGCAAGCGCAGTGAGCTGAAATGGTCTACTGCGCTTTCCTGTATAAGACATTCTTATCGCTTATCACCCGGGCGAAAAATGCTGAGTCACTGAGCTGTGGAAGCACGCGCAGTGTCTGATACACCGCACAGCAGAGCATCAGCGCTCACTCAGAAGGCGTCCTACAGCCCAGCAGACAAAGATGGCAGAGCGCCGAAGGCGATTTTTTGCAAAGGCTGAAAATCTTGAGCAGTAGCTTACTGCTATAAGAATAATCCCGTGAATGTAAATATCACGTTTGTTTTTCCCGAAGATGTATCGAAACGCGAGAAAACACGAAAAATTTCCGACCAGTCGTTACGTCATAAAAGGATCTTTGGGCCGCGAAGCGCGTGTCGCTCGTGTGGGCAGCGCGTGCAATTGCAAGCTTGTCAAGTGTACTCCTCCGCACAGGCACCTGTCGTGACGTCGTTTTCTGACCGTTTTAAAAAATAGAGTGCGCGTGCATAGCCTTGATAGGCGCTGATGATGCGCCAGAACAGAGATTCCGAAAACTCCTTTTATGACCTTACACTCCGGGAAGGAGGGGCACTACATTCGCCATATTTGGTTTGGGTGAAGTTAAGCTCTTTCAAGGAGCACACGCTCGCGTCCTTGGCTTTCTTAGAACTATACACCACTTCTGAGGTAAAAAAAAAAAAAACGTTCACCCACATGTAAAAAAACAAAAAAAAAACAACAACGTATTTTTATGTGGAAACGCAATATCAACTTTTCAGACGACGTCTGCTCATTTCTCCGAGCCGATACAGATAAGTGCCTTATGTGTTTATTGTGATTTCAGGTTGATTTGTCAGCGAGAGTAAAACAACTACTCTGTGGCCACTTGACTTTATCCAATACTCGTCACCATTTCCGAAAATAACTGACGCACCCCCAGACTTGTACGCGTTACCGAAAAAAAAGTAACCGATTACAATTACAATTTCTTTATTGAAAAATGTAAGCGATTACAGTAACTAGTTACTGCATCGCAAAAGCAATTGAAAAAATTACCAGAAAGTAATTGATTACTCTTCACGTTCCTTCTTTTAAATCTTTTTATTACGAAATCAAAAATGCACATATATGTTTAAAGTGATTACATTTTTGAGAGCGCAGCTCTTAGGTGCCCGTTTCCGGCTTGAGCCGCGTCGGCGTAACCGCGAGGTCACATGACCCCCCTAGGGTCACGTGACCTGGGGGGGGGCACGTGATCCTCAGGTCACGTGACTCCCCTCCCCCCGAAGTCGCGTGGCCCCCTTCCCTCGAGGTCAGGTGACCCCCCCCCCCCCCCCCCGGAGGAGATTGAAGATGAGGGGAGGAGGAGGAGAAGGAGGAGGAGGGGTCTACCCTCCCCTCAGTACCCTTCCCTCCTCCTCCTCAAGAGCTGCGCTCTAATTCGGCGTTTCAGAGTGTTGTAAACGGCTTTGACTTTTCATTGTCGTTCGCACCTTGCTAACTAAGCTTCCACAGCAGTCGTAGTTCAAAGTTCTGGTCAGTCGCCTTTCCACGTTTCCTGGTGAAGATGCGTCTGCCGCGACGCTGAAGACGCTCTCGACTGATGCGCTTCGGAGAAGAGCGGTGGTGTATAGCCCACAAACACTGCGTACCAGGTCGTGGTTGCGCAGCAGTGTTTCGACGGACGCTTCCGAGTCCTCCATACACCGACACAGTGATTACAAACAAGCCCGCTTTGCCCAGTGTAGGCACTGCGCGTGCGCAAAAACCGAAGTCGGGAGGAGTGAACCGTTTCCGCATGTGCAGTACCGACAGCAACGCCACCAGGGTGGCGTGTCGTCAGTGAGTTGACTTGGTCAATAGGAAGCGAAGCGCCTCACTGTTTCGACCGCCTGTTGAAAGCGTTTCGGGTGGGGACGCTGAGCGCGTTGACATTCTAATCCTTCTGGTATCTTGGTACCTTTTTGTAGCTGCTTAGGAGTAAACAAAAAAAGTATGTGCCCAAATTTGGTGCAACATAGACGAGTGACCCACAGGCAGACAGGCCGATTTTTTACGTAAAAAAACTGAATAAGTTTAGCCTTTCGGAAACACATAACTGATTACTTGTAATTGATTAGTGAAAAATAATAAAGGAATTACAACGAACGTTTCCGCAAACAAAAAAAAAAGTAATTGAAGCGTTGGAAAGTTACAATAAAATGTAATTGATTACAAGTAATCAGTTAGTTGTAACTCGTCACGTAAAAGTCTGTGCACTCCCGAG